GCCAAATACAGATAAATACAGATTCTAAAAGTGATGGACTGATCATCGTTGTCACTGTCACAGGATCTAGACGCGGTGCTAAACACGACGATTGGAAACCTACTCCTCTCGATCTTCCCTCCGTCTACCACTCGAAGATGGTGATGACGACGAAGAGGATGACGATGACGAGCCGGAATGCGCCTTGCTCCCACCGGATCCCATCTCACCTACCAATCTCTCAACCCTGAGACACCGCCAAAGATACACAATTGCCACAAATTAATAATATGCTTTCTCTACCTTCAAACAAAGCCACTCGTCGAATCTGCAGAAAGGAAAAAATAGTGTCCGAAGAAAAAAGTCCAGATCTTTGCATTTGAGTTCAAGAAGTGCCCATGAAATGTGAATCAAATTGCATGATAAACCAGACCCAGGAGTGCTTCCTTCTGTTGATTACTTGATAAAATTTGAAAAAGGGCCTAAACTTTAAAAACTTTCAGATCTAGAAACAGTGGGGTTTTGGTGTTTTTTTATAATGCTGTTAATTAATGTGTAACAAATGAAATGTTAAAGTAAAGAAACCATCGAGGTATTAGCTGAGGAAAGAGACGGAGCAACTAGCAGAGAGAGAGAAAGAGAGGTAAAAAGGAGTCTTGATGCGCAAGGGAAGATAGTATCCGCCATGATCGTGTGTAGTGATTTTATTATTGAAGAGAAGAAGATGGCCTTCTGGCCTCGTCGTGGCCACTGGCATTCCATTTTCTGCAAGTTTTTGGGGAAGAAATATTGTCTTCCAATTCTATTTACAACCACGTGGAATTGATTACCTGTACATTTTCCAATCAAAAGGCGCCACCTCATCATTGTCCTTTTGTTGCATGTTTGCATGGATTGTGTCTATATATTTTTTAAAAGGTTCAATATGATGAATTTTGTATCTTTTTTAAAATATTCAAATATTGTACTATAATATTTTTTATATTAAATTCATCATTTACTTCTTAAAATAAATCAAATAAATTCTTTATTAACGACATTTAACACTGTTAATTTATGATTGTTGATATAGTTACATTATTTAATTTTTCATTTAATGAATACTAAGGTGGAGCCATGAAGGTGGTAGGTGGTATAAAATATAATTTTTTTTATTTTGTGTAGAAAAAATTTAAATTATTTTAAAAAATAAAAGTTAAATATTTATTATATTTTTTCTCTTCTTGTTCATGAAGTTCACAAGAGAATCCCTCCTCTTCTCATTTTCTTGACATTTTATACTCTTAATGTACCCTAAATTGATAGATCTATAAATTTTGTTTTACAGCTAGTTAGGACTAGAAAGGGAAGTAATAGTACATTTGTTATCGTAGATATATTAGGTAAAACTCAACACTTTATTACTTATCATAAAATAAATGATGTAACAAATATTGTTAACATGTTCTTTGAGGATGTTGTTCATTTGCATGGCATTCTTACAAACATTATAAGTGGTAGAAATGTTAAGTTTTCGAGTTATTTTTAACGTGTCTTATGGAATAAGCTTATTAATGAACTATTGTTTTTCTGCTTATTATCCATAAATTAATGATCAAACTGAAGTTGTCAATAAAACGTTAGGATCTCTTCTACGTGCTGTTATTGGTAGAAATTTAAAAACTTAGAAAGGATTGTTTTCCATTGATTGAATTTTTTTACAACCATAGTATTCATTCTTCAACATGTTTTTCTCCTTTTAAAGTTGTGTATGGTTTTAATCAACTCCTCTTAATCTAACACCTTCACCATTACATGAGATTTCTAATGTAGATGGATAATAGAGAACAGAGGTGGTTAAAATAATACATGAAAAGGTCTGACAATACCTTAAAAAGAAATATGAATTTTATACCTATAATGCAAACAAATGGAGAAAATAAGTGATGTTTGAACCTAGTGATTGGGTTTGGTTTCATATGAGTAAAAAACAACCTCCCAAATAAAGAAAATCCAATTAAATCCTAAATTGATGGTCCATTTCAAGTCTTGAAGTGCATAAATGAATTAGCCTACAAGATAAATCTACTTGTTGCGTATATTGTCTCTATTGCTTTAATGTTTATGGTCTTTATCCTTTTAAAGTAGGTTTTTATTCGAGAAAGAATCTTTTCAAGGAATAGGGAAATTGTGAGAATGAAAGCAACTTGGACCATTCGGGCCTTGGAGGTCATGGTGTAATAACCCAAAAATATACCTGAACTGATTTCTTATATTTGATAGAATTGATTAAGCATGTGTGCTTCTGTGTAAAGTAATGTACTAAGAACAAGAACCTAATTTAAAGACAATGGAAAGAAAAAAGGAAATTACGTCAAAAAAATTTTCTTAGAGTGAGAATTTTTCCTTAAGGGAAATCAATATTTCTCAGCCAAGACTCTTTTAAGATCGAGGCACATTTTAAAAGTTAAAAACATCCATAGGGAATAAAAATTGTTAGAAGATAAATTCAAAAGAGAAAAAGAGAGTTAGGTTAAGTATGAAAACCCTAAATTCCCAAATAATGAGAGAAAAATGACCTTTCATGATAAAAACATTTTCCGAGCCCAAAACTAGTGGAGTTTGAAGCCAAAATTTTGGAGAATAATAGTTAACATATTAGAAAAGAAAGTTGTAAAGTGACAAAATTTTTGGAACAAGAAAAACGTGAGAAAAATGAAGCTTAAGGAACTTTTTCCCTGAGAAACCCTAAAATGACCTTTTTGGATGAATTTTCTTCCTGATGCCAAAATACATGGAATTTGAAGTTCAAATTTGGTGGAGTAGTCTGAACTATAAATTTAACTATGATTTCAAACTGATGAGAAAAGTGAAAAGACTGAAATCAGTTTGACTGTTATCATTGAGGGGTGACCGAATATGACTGCTACTGATTATTGGTGAACTGACTCTTTTGAATGGTACTAGAGTTTCCTTTAACGAAAGCGGAATCATGACTGATTATAAGGGTCACAGTGGCAAACTATGACCGTGGTCATAGTTTTCAACTACTTTACCGAATATCAAATTGAATTGGTCATAGTTTTCAACTACTTTATCGAATATCAAACTGAATTGTTTTCCATTCACAATGGTAGCTCGGGATCCCTTCTGCTCTCTACTGATATAAAATCCATAATTAAATCAAATTGTTTGATTTTCTAGTTAGGACTGTTGATTGGTTACCCATGTTCAGATTATTTTTTGAATTGAATATGTTTCTCACTGTTCTATTATGTCATCTTATGCCATTGTTAGTTTTATTGATTCCTACTATGTTTCTCACTATTCTATTATGTCATGTCATATTATCATTGGTGTAACACCCAAGCCCAAAACTTTAGCCTGGAATAATTTAATATTAATAAGAAAATTAAATTAAAATAATTTGATTTTTAATTTTTTAGGAAAATTAGATTTTGGAAGCATTTGAAATCATTTTCAAAAATCAAGGCCACAGTAGAAATAAGGGAAGACCTATTTGAAAGAAATCTAAAAAACTAGAGTAAAAATAAAATTTTTAAAAGTTTGGCCACGTAGACCGCCACATCAGTAGCACGACCAGTCTCCAAATGCCGGATGGCAGACACGTGGACACACGTCCATGAGGGAGGCCACGTGGGCGATCCGTGTACCAGTAAATCCAATGGCTCAGATCACATCTCGCGCACATAGATAACCCTTATCTGTTTCCTCTTCAAGTGCGATTAAACTACTGGATTTGATTGCGATGGACGATCCAAATTTGCACATGGATCAGCCTAAACGGGTCTTGAATCAGACAACTCTCCTTGCTCCACGTCAACGTGAATGGACGGTCAGGATCAGGGGAAGAGAAGTATTTAAATCTCTCTTTGGTTGGCTCCCAAAACCCTGGCTGACACCCTTGATCGAAGAAAAAAAAGAAGGGTGACCGGAGGAAAGCTCGGTTGCTGGAAGGACATCGTCGCCGCTGCATCGAAGCCACCACCGATGCTAAAAAAGGTAAAAAAAATTTCCTTCCACTCGAAATTGAATTTTGAACCTCCCCACACCCATATCAGAACCAAAAGGGCAATGGGTGAAATAAAAAATGCAAGCGAAGCTCGATCGAGCCGCCGCAGACGCAACCTAAAAACCTCTATGATGACCCCCTTCTCGTTTCTCGTTTTCTTTTATTCTTTGATCAATGTGTTCTTCGTCTCTTTCTGATGTAGGTTAGCCAAAGGAAAACCCTGACCGCAAGAGAAGAACGACGGAGCTGCTGCACCGGATAACCCCCTAGCTAGTAGGGTCTCGATTTTTCCCTTTTTTGGTCGACAGAGACTCCCTAACCTTGTTTTTCGTAGGTTTCTATGCAAAACTGGCCAAAACTGGCCAAAAATGGCCAGGCCGAGAGGAAACACCATCGTTGACAATAGAGTTGGCACTGGAGCATGGTGGCGACATTGTGTTGGAACCCTAAACTAGCCGAAAAAGTTTTAAAATATTTATTTTGGCCTTTTGAGGTATTTTAGGATATGTGACACATATTTTTGATTTTCACAGAAAAAACACAGAAAGCCCGGGAACTACTAGGACGTACAGTAAAAAGAATTGTGTTTTGAATACTAAATCAGGGTAAGAATCTCTCACTCTTTTTTCCATTATGGTAAATTAAAGTTTAAATAATTAATAATGGTGTGTTTTGTAAAAATTGAAAAACTCTAAAATTAATTACAGGTCACTAATGGAGATGATAATTGGTCAGTACAAAATTACCTATTTTATTGATACTGTTCAATTATTGCTAGACTGTTATTGTTTGTTTACTGCATGTACTTTAAATTCGTAGGTTTAATTATTTTCTCATTTTTTAATTTACTTAACTATTTATCCCTATCATTTGATTGGTTTTGAAATAAATGTTTGATTATGTTTCACTCTAAATGTTTAATTTTAAACTATATAGTTTACTAAATTATCGTTCTATTTCTCATGTAATCATGAAATGAGATTGTAGTTATAATTGGTAGCTACTAAATGATGTGAGCATGCCCATAAAAGTGCTTATCGGGTACTCTAGGAAAGGGTGTACGGACTTGGTGCATAAGAAAAACCTTATCATGGATAATTCCTCAGTTGAATGGGGTTGAGAAGTCCCATGCCGAAAGGGGTTGGGAGGTATAGATCACTCTCATACCGGACGAGATATCGTAGTGGTGGTATATTTAGTGTCCATTACTGGATGGGGTATGAGGACGATCGGTTGATTGATAATTTAGATATTGGGTTCACGCATAGGAGGACATCCCTATGGACCCCTAGTAGTACTAGTAAGTAGGTAAGGATGTAAGTTTATTGTTATTGTTCATTTGAATCTGTAATAAAAATATTATTCGGGTTATTGTCTTCATAGGTTGGTTTTTGAAACTAATAAGGGTAAGTATGAAATAACGGTTTTTAAGTTAAA